TTATTCCCCACTACATTTAAGCAGGCTAGGGTAACCCCACTGCTAAAGAAACCCAACCTGGACCATACGCTACTTGAAAACTACAGACCAGTATCCCTGCTTCCATTCATGGCCAAGATTCTGGAGAAAGTAGTGTTCAATCAAGTCCTGGACTTTCTTACTCAAAACAATCTCATGGACAACAAGCAATCCGGCTTTAAGAAAGGCCACTCAACTGAGACTGCCCTGCTCTCGGTCGTGGAGGATCTCAGACTGGCTAAAGCAGACTCTAAATCATCAGTCCTCATTTTGCTGGACTTGTCAGCTGCTTTTGACACTGTCAACCACCAGATCCTGCTATCTACGCTTGAGTCACTGGGCGTTGCGGGCACTGTTATACAATGGTTTAGATCTTACCTCTCTGACAGGTCATTCAGGGTGTCTTGGAGGGGAGAGGTGTCCAACCTACAGCATCTAAACACTGGGGTACCTCAAGGCTCTGTTCTTGGGCCACTTCTCTTCTCCATCTACACATCATCTCTAGGACCAGTCATCCAGAGACATGGATTCTCCTACCACTGCTATGCTGATGACACCCAGCTATACCTCTCTTTTCATCCTGATGATCCCTCGGTTCCAGCTCGTATCTCAGCCTGCCTGTTGGATATTTCACACTGGATGAAAGATCATCATCTTCAGCTGAACCTCGCAAAAACGGAAATGCTTGTAGTTTCTGCCAACCCGACTCTACACCATAACTTTTCAATCCAGATGGATGGGGCAACCATTACTACATCCAAAATGGTGAAAAGCCTTGGAGTAACGATTGATGACCAACTAAACTTCTCTGACCACATTTCTAGAACTGCTCGATCGTGCAGATTTGCACTCTATAACATCAGAAAGATCCGACCCTTCTTATCTGAACATGCAGCTCAACTCCTTGTTCAAGCTCTTGTTCTCTCCAAACTGGATTACTGCAACTCTCTACTAGCTGGGCTTCCAGCTAACTCTATCAAGCCTCTTCAACTGCTCCAGAATGCAGCAGCACGAGTTGTCTTCAATGAACCTAAACGAGCACATGTCACTCCGCTGCTAGTCCGTTTGCACTGGCTGCCAGTTGCTGCTCGCATCAAATTCAAAGCTCTGATGTTTGCCTACAAAGTGACTTCTGGCCTAGCACCTTCTTATCTGCACTCACTTCTGCAGATCTATGTGCCCTCCAGAAACTTGCGTTCTGTGAATGAACGTCGCCTCGTGGTTCCATCCCAAAGAGGGAAAAAATCACTTTCGCGAACGCTCACGCTCAATCTGCCCAGTTGGTGGAATGAACTCCCTAACTGCATCAGAACAGCAGAGTCACTCGCTATTTTCAAGAAACGACTAAAAACTCAACTATTTAGTCTCCACTTCACTTCCTAAGCTGCAATTGCCTCTTTGAATATCACACTAATTGTACAAAAAAAAAAAAAAAAAAAAAAAAAAACTACTAACACTTCCCTTCTTAGACTTTACAGACCTGAAACTTGCCTTTAGTACTTATTCATTGTTGCTCTTAGTTGTGTAAATTGCTTCCTTGTCCTCATTTGTAAGTCGCTTTGGATAAAAGCGTCTGCTAAATGACTAAATGTAAATGTAAATGTAAATGTAGTTTGTAAGTCAGACCTATGGCTAATGACTTCATCTCTGTGAGGCCCTGTTTAAGAGAGACAGTTTATTACAGTGGCATGGATGATAGATCTAGACTAATAAAAATGTAAATGTGTGTTATTTAGTCATAGAGCAGCAAAAACTGCGATAAATGGCCGTATAAGGGTAGTGCTGCATTGACTGACAAGCAGCTTTTGGGATGGGTGAGAGAAAAAGTAGATTAAACGTGCGCATGACCTTCTACAGCTCCTGTGCATGTAGATTAGTGGATTAATTTTCCCAGTAAAAGTGCTGTGTGCTACAAGATCATAAACAGCCTTCTTAAAGTTTTCTTTAAAAGTCCACATCCCAGATAACAGGGAATATTCTGTAATGTTCTTTGAAAGTTGTGTAAATGTTAGCATCTAATGTTGTTCAAATCGTGCTTTCGTAAAACAACCAAAAAAAAAAAAAAAAAAAATTCTAACAAAGAACCTTCCACAATAATGCTAATATATATATATATATATATATATATATATATACACACACACACACATACACAAACACACATCATGGCCTCCTATGTGTGTGTGTGTGTGTGTGTGTGTGTGTGTGTGTGTGTGTGTAATAAGGGAAGCATTTTTAGAACACTACTAATATAATGTGGATTGGATGCTCTAATAACATGCTATTTTAATATAACTTGACTGAAATGTTCTGAAAATGTTTAAAATAATTTTAAAATAAACAAGAAATAATGTAAATGCATTGCCTAAAATGTTTTGAACATTTTAAGAACATTAAAAAAATTACATTGTTGTACTAGATGTTTTTATTTAATTTGTTTATACAAATTTAAATTTTTATTGCAAGAGCTCTCAGTAATACTTAATTCTGATTGGTCAATCATGCCATACAGCTGTTTGTTATCCTACCTCAAGCAGGCAACTAAAGTCAGAGCTATACAGTATGCTTACAAAGAACTGTTTACTCATGGAAGCTTTGTTTTCAATGAGCTTGAATGAATAGTTTGTGTACAATTGTTTAATTAGGTCATTCAGGTATAACAAACTCTCTCTTTCTCTCTCTTGTTTCATGCATATGCAGTTACTGCCCCCTGTATCTTTGTTATACAGTAGTTATTAGACTCTCTTGAAGGTTTTCAGTAGGGGAAACTGTAATACTGTTTCTGTGTTATTGACAGAACAATTGTTTTTAATGATAGCAAGATTTGAACAGTATCATCTCAAATCAATATCTCTTGTCTCGATAAATGTTTACACTAAAAAGATGGAAAATGACAACATGTGCTTTACATGTCTGTCTACTTTGCACTTGCTAGAAAAACCAGTAGCTTCACATTCAGTGAGCTATTCAAATTTTTGACTCATATCAACATTTTGCATCTTAGCGTTTACTTATGTATGAAGTAGCTGTAAAATAAGCGGCATATGAATATCCAGCTGGTTATCACAAAATAAACTCCTTCTGGGTGCACATGTCAGTCCTGATCATATTGTTGGGGTTTACTCGGCAAAAAAACCTGCTGGATGTAATTGATCTATTACATATTAATAACCTTATACAGAACTCAAAATATCTTATGTAAAGTAAATATTTTTGCATGTATTTGAATACAGATTTAGTTTATCTGAAAGAAACATCCTGGAATATCAAAAATCTTGAATCATCTCTTTTTTTAATCTGTGAAAATAATTTCCTCATGCCTTTAAATAATATGAATATAACTTTATACCCTTACCTAACTTTTAGTATATGAATATAACATGAATATGCTAATTAGTCCTCACCATTCATCAGACAAGCTTGAATTACCTGCTCCACTTTCACTTGCATAACTAAAGCTGGCAGCTAGCTCTCTGCAACTCTCACATGGTCACCCACTGAAGCTAAGCAGCGCTGCGCCTGGTCAGTACCTGGATGGGAGACCACATGGGAAAGCTTTTTGTTGTCCAGAAGTGGTGTTAGTGAGGCCAGCAGGTGCGCCCAACCTGCGGTCTGTGTAGGTCCTAATACCACAGTATAGTGACAGGGACTCTTCACTGCTCAGTGAGCGCCGTCTTTTGAATGAAACATTAAACTGAGGTCCTGACTCTCTGTGGTCATTAAAAATCCCAGGATGTCCCTTGAAAAAGAATAGGGGTTTAACTCCAGCATCCAAATTTGCCCACTGTCCATCATGGCCTCCTAACCATATCATAATTGGCTTCATCACTCTTCATCAGTTTACTCTCCACCAATCAGCTGGTGTGTGGTGTGCGGTCCAGGTGGATGCTGCACACTGGTGGTGGATGAGGAGATTCCCCCCTATGTGTAAAGCGCTTTGAATGCCCAGAAAAGCGCTTTATAAATGTAAGATTATTATTATTATTAAAGTAGAAAAAACTATAAATCTGCAAGTTGCAGTCTTGGGTTAAGTCACACGTACATTTGAACTAGAAACTAATTCTAAAGAAGGTGATAGAAGACAAAGACAGTGGAGATGTTTCCCCATTCCGAATTTTTATGTGATTAGGTTGTGATGGTAGGAAACAGTGGCAATTTTGAGATTATTTGCCTGAAAATACCTTTAGTACAGGGCTGTTTTAAGGAGAACATGCTCAGCAATGGATGGATTTGCACATACTGTAGTTTGTCTTCAAGCATAACAAAACAATGGGAATACATGCAAACATAAAAACTAGATTTTCACAACAGTCGAATTGGTATTTTACTCCACAACACTGGCCCTTCAAGATAAAACACACAACTAAAGAGCAGCAGTCGAATAAATGGTGTCTGTTTTTCCAGGGAACATGAATAAACCAAGAAACACATGAAAAAGAATGTAGAGGCAGTTTAACCTGATGAAAGTGAAAGATATATAAAGGTATAACCGATGGATGCTGGGTGCAGGGCAAACAACCAAGAGCCTTTGTCTATTGATCAGTTGAAAAATTCTGAAATTAAAACCAAACAAAATCAGATTTAATGGATCTGGGTCTGTGTGGGATACAACCAGTACCTAAGGATGAGGTGTAGTGACCCTGCTATTATTTGCTCACCCTCATGACATTCCAAATCTGTATGACTCACTTTCCTTGAACACACATACACACACATTCTCATTGCAATGAAAGGGACTAAGAACCTGAAAATGCTTTTAGTATCTTTTTTCGAGGCTTTAGTCCTAATGTAAAACGTTATCTACCGGGATTGGAACAGCATGAGGGTGATTACTAATGACAGGATGTAAATTTTTGGGCGAACTACCTCTTTAAATTTGGATGCTTTTAAATCATGAAGGTTTGAAACAGCTGGATGGTTGTGCAGCACAGTGTGAATGTGCTAATTATGGGACCCAGAGTGTGTGATGATTGATTTCTCACCATGACAATGCCTCCTGACTGCTCAGCGGTGCACATACTCATGATGGGAGCCATCCCTATTGTGGTGCCCTGGAAGTACACCCCGCTGCCGCAAGACAATGAAAATGCAGTTAAATTCATGACAATTAACTGGTGTAGCCAAATAAGAAAAGATTAAGACCGATACATAACTTTCTACCAGACCACCAGCTGAACATGCAAATAAAAAAAGAGGTCTAACTATTTGAAAAGAGATCAAGCTATATCATGATACTCAACTCACAATATGATACCGCTTACCAAGGGAACAGGTCGGAAGGCCAAAAATATTCATTTAGCATAATTGGCAAGTTATACAGTACTGCATTACTGCTTGTTCTGTATTTATTTTCCACTTTGGGGTACTTTTGGCTTTTTCATAAGTATATTTATTAGGATATCTCAATAAAACAATGTACAAGTACAAATTATTATCATGACTTAAACATTTAAATGTAACATGATTAAATTTACTTGACATAAATACAGTAGAATATCGTGAAACATTATTAACAGACTTAAATATTTGCTTTCTCTTTTCACACAGCAACTTGAATTCTGGAACTACTTTGTCACATTATATTTACATTTGAAGCTTCTATTTAGATTTTACAAAGACTCTAGAATACACGAGATGCATCACTTCTATAGTTTGGAATGTGGAAAATTTTAACGGTCAGTATGGTGAATAAAGCCTCGCCTACTAGTACATGAGCCAGTCATCGATTGCTATAGACTGACATTTCTCTGGGGGAAAAGCTTAGCTTATACGACTGTTTGGTGGTCAACAAATGTACTGGAATCCCAGCAAATACTTGCTTCACAGACATAAAACATATATACACCTTTAGCTTCAAATCTGTGCTTTTAAATAAACTAAAAGCACTTGAAAACTACAGTTTTTTTGGTTTTGTAATCTGTATGAAACGAACCCGAGGAACAGTTCGTCCTGTCAAAGGCATATCACATGACAGCACATGAAGTGCTCAAACTTGTAAACAAAAAAAATCACGATCATTTCTGGAAAAATTCGCCATCAAGACCAAGTTGTGTATTTCTTCAGAAGAGCACCGTGATCAGACAAAGCATTGTCCAAAACATTATAAAGTGTGGAATGACAATAAATGAGGTTGGTGTCGGGATCTCGTTGCTTTTGAGTGTGCATGCGCTTGCAATTTTGTTTGGTTCAGACGTTTAGAAACTAAACTTTACTAAACATTTTATAAGTGATTCCAAATATGTAATGTAATCGTAAGCTTGGCAGTTTTGGAACATTTGATTTTCAAACAGAATGCCCGAGTATACTGCCCAAGAGGTGTTTCAAAGAAGGCCGCCATGTGAAATGACTTGCGTTAAAGGGACTTTGGATTTTAGAATTAACCTTTGAATGTTCGTCACATTTTATGAAGTCATAACCCTAACAATATGGTACTTTTTGTAATACACAGACCTCCTAGTTTTTTGCAATTCTGTGATCACTGAATCCCACACAAAATCAAAAAAAAGTCGCAAATTTAAAAAAAAAAAAAAGTTGGAGTAAACAGAGCAATGGAACATCAGATCGGTTCACAGATGACAACCGCTAAAAGTGACCGAATTGAACAAAGACAAGAGGCAAATGCCTGCTTGCCGATTCTGCTTTCCCGCGCGTGAGAAACAGACATGACTCTCAACTACTTTGACAAATACACACCTATGTTGCACGCTTACACAGAGCCCAAAATGGAGGTTTGTGATTGGGTCAGCCCAATGTCAATAAAGAAAAGAACCAATGGGCTGCAGATTATGTCACATGGGCTGCTCTGCCTGGAAAAGAAACATCTTACTTTCAGAGCATCACAGATCACAGTATCGTCAATTAATTAGAGAGAGAAACAAGACAGTCTGCTAAGTGTTTTATGGGCCAATCTGATCATAAAACGATGATCAGCCCGGCCCAAAAAGTACGTCGGCCCAGCGGGAAACTGCCAGGTCTGCCAGATGGCCAGTCTGCCTCTGTTTAGCTTTTGGCTTAATTCCTAACGTTTTAGAAATTGTCTTGAAAACAGACAAAAATAAAGAAGCTTTATTTGTATTTGTTTGAAGCTTTGATTTGTGTCGTTGTCATTTTTATTTTAATCACACAATTGTCAGCGTATTTCTAGGAATTACTGCCATTTGATCAGTCATTTTTAAATTGCAAACAAAATAAATAAATAAAAAATCACTAAACAAATCATGAAAAACTAGGCGGTCTAAATATAGCCTATAATTGCATATGAGGTACTAAACCGCCAATGAATGTGCGTGAAAGTTTCTTTTTTTTTGATAAATTTTAAACTTCCTGTGGTTCTAAAGCTAACATATTAGTAAAATTAATAATTTATGTGATGGCAAAGCCAGATTTTTAGCATAATTGATCCAGTCTTCATTGCCTCAGAAATCATTCTAATAGACCAGATGTGCTGCTTAAAATTTGGAGGATGCTGTATATTGAGTTGTCATTCTTGATGTTACCTGACCTTAAGATACAAGCATAAATTTAGCTACAACCAAAGTTGGAAAAATATTTGTAATATAGGTGTGTTTGTACCTTATGAGCTGAGCATTATCATGAGGCCGCTGAGGTAGCAGCTTAAGTTTCCTCCAGTCCAAAAACTCGTGCAGGGTTGTAAAGGGGTCTTGGGTTACTGAACACTTATCAACATCACTCCACACCTCCAGTCCAACCAGAGCTACACGGATGTTCAGCACTCTGTAAAACTAAGAAACCACATACAGTAAATCAAACACTACCAATACATCAAAAGACCCAGCAGTACATTCATTCTTCCATCAGTCAATTCATATTCAAAGGTTTTCATTTCATTTAAAAGCTCGTTCTTTACCTCAGCAGTTCGACATTCATATCTGACAGTCAGACATCTATTTAAAACTTCTAATCAAGTGTTCTCATTCTATCAGGCAAAGAATGGCATTTAATACCTTGTCCACGTAATTGGCGATCTCCGCTAGCCTTTGTTTAACCTTTTCCACATCTTTTCCTTGCTTTTGGAACTGAGTAGGGAAAGAAAAGACATATGTGAGATATCAAATCAGTATAAAACTGCAGCCTAGATAGATTTTTTAAACAACGCTGGGCTCTTTGATTGGCAGTAAGTCCAAACTGTCATTTATATGGCTGTTATCAGAAGTGTGTGTAAATGGCACACTCTTAAAAGCACTCAGAAGTGATCATTACCGCTGGCTAAGAGGCACTGAACAATAGCACTCAAAGACAAAAAGAGTGTGATAGCCATTCACTTTTGGTTCTGTATTGATGTATCCCACTTGAAAAAATACAATAGAAATGTATGGTAAATATTGTTTATGAACTCTACTAAAGTTTGTTAAACTGCATATGTTATAGTATTCACAACTCTTTGTTAAAATGTGCTACAGTGAACTGATACACTGTAATACATGCTGTAGTATACTTTAATGTTTACTATAATGACCTGTGGTGTATTGTAGCAAAGTACAACCTAGTGGTAGAAAAATAACAGTTGTCTATTGGGTAGTTTGTTTATATTGATAGTTGTGTTTCTATAGAAGCAATAGACTTACCACAACAGACTGAAGCAAGTCATTTACACTATAGTATTTTACTATTAATTACTATAGCGTTTTTGTGGGATCTATTTAGAAAGAACCTAATTAGGCTAAATTACTAGAATAAATGAAATGCATTTCTAGTCAGATATTGTTTCATGAAAATGTAATTAGCTGAAAGAAAATGAGAAACTTCCTAATCTGCCTCTTTCTCCTTCAAACACACACATTAAACCACAGCTGTGTTGATAATATGATAGCTTTCTTGCTGCCCAGTTTCCTTTTCCCACATCCAATGTTCGCTTTATACACAGCACTTCCTGTTTCCTGTCTGATCATTTGGGAGCATTGCCCTACTTCTGGTCAAGTTCCACCCTCTATGACCTGCTTTATGTTTGGCCAACTAAGGTGAAACAAAGAACCAAAACTTCACCGTAACCTAAATACTGCACAGTACGTAAGCAAATATAATTGTGTACGACAGCGCATTTCCCTTGATTTTTTAAGCTTGATTAGTAGATATTAGAGTTCAAGTGCAAAAGTGTTTTGTTGTGGCCTTTTGATTTGGCTCTGGAAATATGATAGTGGGCATTGTTGAGAACGAACTTCATTTCACTGACTTTTATTTAATCTTCTTGTTCATTTTATAATAATAATAAATAATAAAATTACATTAAAATTATGATACAACTTATATCAAACAAAATTAGCTAAAAAAACAAGAATTTTTTAACAAAAATAAATGAAGTGGCCAAAAAATGTGTCTGACGTACTTTGTTTCTTACGATGTGCTGCTGTCGCATTTTTCAAGCCTTTATAACATTCATAACTATCAAATTGAAGAACAAAACACAAACTAGTAATCGTTAAACTATAAAGAAAAATGGTAAGTTTTATTGAACATGATTAGAAGGCAAGTCATTGTGATATATATATTTACATTAATGCACATATCAGGTACTCGTATGTAACAAGGAACCATGCAATTTAAACTGTTCATAGAACACAATGTGTGTATGTGTGTGTCAGTACCCAGCCTGATCTCACAAGGAAATGTAACTATACTGCATTATGTCAGTTCAGTGCCTAATTCGTACAAATTTGTACAAGTTCTCTTGTACAAAAAAATGTTTGATTTTAAAAAAGGCGGCTTGGCACCCAACCCAACACCACCCCTTAACCCACCTGTCATTGGAAGATAAGTAACTGGTGCTAAATTGTACAAATGAGATCATACAAATTCATATGAACTAGCCCGTAAATCAAAAAGTTACGAATTGCCATGAGATATCGTTGGTGTACCTTGTATTTCCTTCATCATGTGGCCCAAATGTCCCCATAACAAAGAAAATATCATAGTACACAGTACAATACATAGTACACAGTATAATACATAGTACTTCTTTAGGGAAAGTACCTAAAAGATAAGTGTGTGTGTGTTGGTTTAAGAGTGTGGGCTGGTTAAGTGCTTATGGAAAAGGTGTGTCTTGACAGATGGTGATAGTCTCAGCAGTTCGTGTGGAGGTTTGCTGTTCATTCCAGCAGAGGTGAACAGTGAGGGTGAAGGCTATGAAAAAGTGTCTTTTTGCCTTTTTGTAAAGTGTCAAAGTGTCACTCATTAAGTGGCCTGATCTGTAGTCATGGGTTGTGTTAGGGAGGAACTGTTCCAAGCCCCGAAAGCCTGTGTCAAAAGTCTTGAAATTACAACTGCTCGGATCAGTAGCTATGCCACATATTCTGACAGGAATGGGGTGATTTTCCAAAACTTGAACATTTGTGCCGTTCTGACATAAATTACTATTGCTTTACAAGACAAAAAAAAAAACAAAAAAAAAACAGGTGTGTTTTACTGATGCACCACTGCAGAGCAATCAGTGTATGAGAGCATATTTTAGAGCATACTCTCGACTGATCTGATCTTGAACTGATTGTTCTCTGCAGAGCCGCTTCAGGTCAGAGACAGCTCTTTTGAACTTGCCCTGCAATCTGTGTCAAACCTGTTGTGCTGCTTTGTTGTCTTACCTCTCGGTTGTCTGCTACAATGATGAGCTCCACATATTTGGTGGTCTTCTGAACATCCCGTTTATGCTGCAACAGAGAAAAAAAGCACATAAACCATTGTATCGTGTGAATTATCTATCATTAACACATTTAATGAGCATTCAATAAACACATTTAGCAGAGATGACATGGGTTTAGAATTGTTTACAAATGAATTGAGTGATTCATTCTGGAGATGTGACCAATAAATGATAAGCAAATCAATGAACGATTCACTCAACCAATTCATTTAAATAAATTGATATGATCCTATAAAAGTTGTATCAACAGTAGAAATCTAAAATAAAAAGACTGTTAGATATTCATTACAATTTGGATTTATCCAACTTAAATGGAATGAAGGAGGTTGCTTAAGCATTTTAATGCATATATTTAGAGTCTATGGATTTATGTACCTCCAGATTTTCATTTTTATTTGATTATACTTAGCTATGACCACAGTATAAATAAAAAATTGGATTGAGATTTTAATTCTTACTTTACATTAACCATAAATGTGGATCATTTAAAATAAGTGAAGTTTCACAAACTAATTTTGAGAGGAACATGTGGTATGATTGATCGCAGCTAGTCTCCCATCTATAACTAAGTTAGACAAACAGATTAATCCAAACTCACTACAAGTAACCTGGCTAAAGCTCCATTCACACTAGAGTTAGAGCTTGCGAAATTCTGTCAGACAGCGCTGCGAAAAGGGGTGGGATTAAACAAGATAATTATACATATAAAAAAGAGAGCGATTGGTCCATATTTTAAATTTCTGTCCAGAGAGGTCATGGTTTGATCCTTGATTGGTCTCATGCAGTCAAGTGATGCAATTTCGCAGGTCAGAGTTCACCAAGCTTGAACGTTGCAATGCAGCGACCTGCGAAACCTGTCGTAGTTGCTTACATTTCCGGTCTGATGCATTCACATGCGTATGAATGGAAGTCTATGTGGAGAAAACTGCAGTGTGACCGTCACACTGGAATTTGAGCTTGCGAAATCCTGTCATATGGCACTGCGAACAGGGGCAGCATTAAACAAGATGATTAGACATTTAAAAAGTGAGCAATTGCTCTATATTTTAAATTTCTGTTCAGAGAGGTCATGTTTTGATCCTCGATTGGTCTCAATCATGTGATGCGATTTCGCAGCTCAGAGTTCACCAAGCTTGCAATGCAGTGAACTGCGAAACTTGACGCACGGACTTCCGTTTTTGGTCTGACACAGTCACATGCGTATGAATGGAAGTCTATGGGGAGAAAAGTGCAGTGTGAGCGCAGCCTAAAACTACTTTCTTATCCTCATTTTCTGAAGAAACCCCCCATCCACCCTATCTCCCCCTTTTCTCCTTTAACAGCGAAAGTTATCGAGAACTACCTGATCTCGTACTCCCTTTACATGCTCATTAATCAGGTGGAAGCCCTGGGCTGAATTATCTCAGAGCTCAGGGTCGTCTCCCAGGACAGCATGCCAAACCTGCTGTTATTATCAAGCAATATCTAAGTGTGAACTCTTAAAACATATATAAAGTATTACTAAAATATGATGTGAGGGAGACGTCAAAGACTATTACTAATAAATATAGGTAATTACTCGATTTAAAAGAAATAATTAAATAAATATAAAAAAATAACTAATGAAAGCACTCAAAAGAAAAAGAATAAAGTCACCAAAGTTACAAATTTTGGAACCATTTGAAATAGATTAACCTGCTTTATCTTATTTAGGTCTGCTCCTCAGATGTTATATTGGTGAAGGTAAGAGTCCATCAAACAATTTAAGATTTCAATGAACAAGAAATATAATATAACTTTCCATAAATCCATAACAAACCACAGCCATAAAAAAAAAATGCCTTAACTAACAAGTGAGCCTTTTTAAACGTCCCTTTCACCCTTACTGTTCCATTTTCAATTATTTTTATCTTCAACTAGCAATGCTTTTAATCTCCATGATAATAATATCAATATCATCTCCACCCCTTTTTGATTTATTCTCATCAAATGGACAATAAAAGAGTCAATAATCCCTAAAGATGTGCCTGCAAATATCAATACCAGCACTGATACCAATCCTAACCACTTACGCTTTTGTTATATACATAGATTTCATCGGTTTGCCTTTATGTTGAAATATAACAGCATCTCCTGTCTGCTTCTATCCTTTCAAATCAATACAATGGCATCTGAACATGTTATTTAGACAGCTCTGTTGTGATAAGAACAACTTCAATGTCAAGACTGTAATGTCGGGATGTTCTGTTAACCTTTGATGTCTCGCACAGCTCTCTAATCTTGTTTTAGCATGCATGCGAAGCCAGAGCAATCGCAATCTCCTCATCTGCATTAACAAAGACATCACTTGCTGAATGATGCATGTTAATTCATCCACAAGACAAAAAAAGTGACACTCTCTGAACAAAACACTGTCATAACCGCTGCTGACAGATTGCGTTCATACCCTCGTTCTGAATGATTGTAGCAGTCCTCTTGTGTTCGTGTTGCTGACAGTCGATATGTTGTGTCCGTGTCCACAGGTTCCGGAGGGGAAGTGTAGATGATGTCCATCATAAATCACATGGGTGTCGTTTGCCGGCTCAAAAGCTGGCTCTACCATCAGTGTTTTATTTTCAAGTAAGACGAACCCTCTGTTGATTGAAAACAGATTTGATAAATAAATAAATAAAAAATACTGAATAAAAATATGCAAACATATATTAGATGTTAACAGGAAACAATATAATGTGATGTTATACATGACTGTGTGTTTAAAATGTTAATAACATTACTTTTTTGCTTTAGCATATTTAAACGTTGTGTTGTTTGAACCTTTTACATGGTGCTAGCATTTTGCCTAGCATAGGTTTAGCATAAATTAGGGTGTGTTTTAAAAGTACAATGTGCTGTTAGCATGAATTTTTAGCAATAGCTGTATTTACAATGCTCCTAGTATGTTTGTAGCCTCTTTAGCACATGGCTAACTCTGCATTAATACATTCTACAGATGTTAGCAATGTCTTATTTCAATGTTAACTCTTCTAACGTGATGCTGACATTAATTAGCATGTTGCTAATATGTTTCTAGAATATTTAACATTTGGCTAATAATTAATAAATGTTGTCAACCTTTGTTCACTGTATAAATTTACTACCTTTTTGTTATGTTCAGGATGAAAACATCCACTGAATTAAACTTTTAAAAAATTACAGGATTTCAACTCTTTAATTGCCAAGTTCACAAGTGATTTCATTGATTTGCTAAAAATAAAACACAAAATGACGTATTTTCAATATATATAATTGTGGACTGGATTTTTTTTACCTTTTATCACATTCTTGGACTTTGATGCGTTGCTTGATTTTCATTTTTTTTTCTTTTTAATTTAGAGTTGGTGGCTATTTTTCCCCATTGACTTCCATTATAAACACATTTGATGGTGCATAAATACACAGTCTTTGTTATTGTTTACTCCATGTAGTTCTGAGAGCAAAGATGCATATTTAGATTTCCTCGGACACATCAAGGTAATTGCGCAAAGGTCACTCTCACACTCGCACACACTCATAGACACAAACACACACTTTAATTTGCTGTTATACTCCATATTTTCTTTGCACAGGTCTATCTAAAGGGTTAACGGTTCCAACTGATGATCAACAGTAAAAATTACAAATGTTACCTCTACTCAACAGGGAAATTACCAACAATCACAAATGCATGATTATATGGTGTCATAGTTTTGCAATCAAACAAATGTGGTTATAATGGAAGTCAATGGATCATCAAAACAATGCGTCAAAAGCTTGTTTCACACGTCCAAGACTTTAATAAAAGGTAAAAAAATAAAAATCCAGTCCACAATTACTTATTGCAAATTGATTATATTGCAAATTATCACCAAATCAGTGACATCATTTATGAATTTGGAAATTAAAATTTAAGTTAAAATTCTGTAATTTTTTATCACTATTGAGGTTGATTAACATATTTATACAAAAAAAAATGTTTTATGCATTTTTACAGCAGTTTAATTTAGTGGATGTTTTCATCCCAAACAAAACAAAGGGGTACTACATTTGCCCAGATCATTGAGCTTTTTTTTTATTTCAATGTATTTTCTCAAATTAAGTGTCAAATAAGATATGTCACCAAAAATCATTCTGCCCAGCTGAAACACAGAAAAAGTTATTAAATTAAGACTCAAAATCACCACAGAGTGGATGAAAACATCCCCAACAGCACAAAAGGGTTAACGTTGTTAGTATGTACAGTAGCATAAAATTAACATTTCTAAAAAGTTTCAAGAATCAGCCCAGTGGCGCAGTGGATAGCACAATTGCCTCACAGCAAGAAGGTCGTTGGTTCGAGCTCCGGGTGAGTCAGTTGGCATTTCTTTGTGGAGTTTGCATGTTTGCATGTGCTTCAGGTTCCCACACAAATCCAAAGACAACCGCCTTAGGTGAATTGGGTATGCTAAATTGTCCATACTGTATGTGTGAATAAGTGTATGGATGTTTCACAGTGATGGGTTGCAGCTGGAAGGGCATCCGCTGCATAAAACATAAGCTGGATAAGTTGGTGGTTCATTCTGCTGTGGCAACCCCAAATTAGTAAAGGGACTAAGCTGAAAAGAAAATGAATGAATGAATGAAAAAGTTTCTAGCATGGTTAGCTATAAAGTAAATATATGGTTACCATATAGTAATATGTTTCAAGCATTTTACCCCATTCTACCATGAACTTCATAATGCTAACACATTAGCATTTTTCATAAAACACACAAAACAATCTACATAAAAAAGCTTTCAGCAAGATTTTACCCACATAGCAAAATGTCTCTGGCCCAGATCTGGCCCACACAATCAGTTTTTGCTTGGCCCACATGCCGCAGTAAAATACGGTACATGACTGGACCAAGTCTGTCTTCCATACAAGGGTCAAACATGGACCATATCTGGGCCAGGTCTCAGCCAAGTTACTACCCATAACTAGCCCTGAACTGGGCCAGATATGTTGGTGTCCCATGACTGCAATGAATTTGATAAAACCACAAAGCATTTTGCTTTAGGTGTGCTATGTGTGTTTTTTTTTTCCGAAGCGACCTGATTGGTAGAACTGTTTCTTTACTCAAAAATAATTTAAATGTATTTTAAAAGTGGTTCACGGTACGCTAAATTTACGTGGCCCACATTAAATTTTTTTTACATCTGGTCCAAACGCTACATTTGATATCTGGCCCAAGTCCACCTCTGCCAAACCCGGGCTATGTTTGGTCCACATTCTGTATGCCAGTGCCAAACGAATGCCTGCTGTGCCAGCTTTATGCCAAATCTGAGCCGGAATTCTTAGCTACCTAGGTAATTATTGTGATATTTTGTTGTCCTTAAATCAATCAAATAATGATATTCTTAAAAAAAATATTTTCTTAACAGCTTTTTGGATAACTTTTTTATAATATTTTTAACGGCTTTAAGGATGTCTGCTAATTGATTTAAAAATTTTCATAATTTCTTGGGTTAAGTAATTAGGTTACAATTTATTCATGTTCCCAGTGCTGGGATGCGGCTGGAAGGGCATCTGCTGCATACAACATATGCTAGATAAGTAGATAATAGGTTCATTTTGCTGTGGCGAAATAAGGCACTAAGCTGAAGGAAAATGAATGAACGAATGAATGAATGAATGAATGAATGTGCTTATGTTGTGTTGTATGATAATTTTTTTGTTGTTGTGCAAGACATGGTATGTTGTAAATTGTGTCAAAGAATAATAATAAGATATAATAATAATAGGTATGATAATTACAAATAATAAGAGGTACTGTAGATGCGTGAAGTACCTTTAGTAATGCATTCCTGCTAAATATTGCAGTGGCATAGCTTGTAATATTAATTCAAATGCAATCACATATATATTTTTATCAATATAACATCATTGTAAAATTAACTACAACCCTTGCCCCTTTGCCATTCAATAAGCTCTATGGTCAAACCACTCAAATCCAATAAATCCATTTGTTTGTCTTTGTCCCACTGTGACATGTGTGGATATGAATGTTTCTGCAGAATGACATTAAATTGTATAAAATGGCAATTTTCATTCCATTCTATGACCACTAACCAAGACTTAGCAAAATGTCTGCAAATGTGCAAATTTACATTTATGACAAAAGTGATATGCTTAATAATATGGCCAGAAGTGAAAAGGAAATTGTGAGAGATCCCATTGAGGATAATTGAATATGAAGGGTGCATATCTAAGAGCCACAGTGCTGCAGAATTAGGTTGTAAGATGAAGAGTGAGTTTTCACTTTGCAATATTATAACAAAATAAAACAGATGAAAATCTGGAGCCATACTGATAGTCAAAACGATGCATGTGGAAGGAATGATAATTTAAATCATATCTGACGACAGCCCTGCTTGCAATGTATAACCAAGCTTCTAATATGAAAGCCAAAAGTACTGAGCAGAGACAATGCAGCATGATTGCAGTTAGATACAGAGTATTGCATTTAGTATTTCCACATTGTCAAATGCAAAAATTTCCATCTCACACACCCACACCAGTGAGGATAAAAAGCCAAAATCACATTTACCTCTGCCTTGATTCATTGTAACCCTCTATGTTCCGATATGGCCTTAATATCTGCCTACCTAAAGGTCTCCAGGCTTGTGATTATGAAGATAAAAACTTGAAGAAGAAATGTTTTGTAATTACAAGTAGGAGACCTTGGGAACACGGGTTCTCTTCAAACTAAATTCATCTTTACCTACTTGGCCGTAAAAGTTGTGCCTTTACGACAAATTTACTGTAACCAAATGCTCCTTCTAATTATTTCACCAACGTATTTCATGACTTAATAAACGTTTTCAGTCTTATCTTCAAGACAATGGAGCATGGGATGATACTAAAGCTTTTTATTGATGTTTAATCTCACGGTTTTATAGTCTCTAAATGAACCTTCACGTAGGAAGAGTTGTGAAGTCCACTGGAAAGAAAATCACGGCAATAAATGTTTGACAACTTAAGGTCTATAATGGCTTTCCGGATTGAAGCACACATGCTTTAAACTACTTGTTTAAGGAGTTTTAATGACTTTGAAAATTAGAATTCAATATGGTTGACGTTACTGCCAATACATAATAGGATACAGAGACATTATAGGGTGATACTGTGCTTACCTGATACCAGAGCAAGTACTAAGAGTGACTTCAGAGTGTACGTATCCTTGTACTTCTCCATGGTAATAGCAATTCATCTACACAAAGAAAAAGAGGGAAAACACTTTAAAATATACATCAAGGCACATGTACTAATTTCTTAGAAATGCATTTCTTAGAAATGTGTCATGTTGTTTTATTTGCTTCTTGAAACATACTAATATTACTTTTTATCTAATGTTGTCCTCTTATACTGTATCATAAATGTACATGTACAGTATAGTGTGCGCAAAATAAAACTTGCATACTTCTGAATGGGAAACAGAAGATTAGGCAAAACTAATATTCAGGCATGGGCATTTGTTCAATATTTTGATGACATTATTTAATTAACCAACAAGTTGAGGATCATGTTATATTGTGAAAAGCTTAAAGTTATTTAATTGATGGAATTATCTATTATATAAACATAATTCTGCAAAAATACATAAAAAGCTTAAAAGCACACAATATATAAAGTGATTATTACATTATTCATATTTATTATACATTGCAATCCACCATTAATTGGAATGAACTGATATTTCAAATTTTTAAACATTTTCTTTCTTTCTTTCTTTTTTGTGGTCAATATTGATAATTAAAAAAATAAATAAATAAATAAATAAATTTTGGCTGATTCCGATACTGATAATGGTCAATTGCATACATAACTATTTAATAGCTAATTATTTATTCATTCATTTTCTTGTCGGCTTAGTCTCTTTATTAATCCGGGGTCGCCACAGCGGAATGAACCGCTAACTTATCCAGCAATTTTTACGCAGCGGATGCCCTTCCAGCTGCAACCCATCTCTGGGAAACATCCACACACACACTCATACACTACGGACAATTTAGCCTACCCAATTCACCTGTACCGCATGTCTTTGGACTGTGGGGGAAACCGGAGCACCCGGAGGAAACCCACACGAAGGCAGGGAGAACATGCAAACTTCACATAGAAACGCCAACTGAGCCGAGGCTCGAATCTTCTTCTTGCTGTGAGGCGACAGCACTACCTACTACTCCATTGAATTAAATTTATCGAAGATGGATTTGATCTATTTTGTTTCTATTATTTGATCTATTAACATTTGACTGTCTGATATTTAAGAGAGGTACATCTTAAGACAATAGAACTATTCATTTTTTTGGCTTAGTCCCTAAGGGATGACCACAGTGGAATGAACCGCCAACTTATCCAGCATACGTTTTACACAGCGGATGTCCTTCCAGCTGCAAACAATCGTACACTCTCACATTCACACATAAACTACAACTAATTTAGTTTATTCAATTCACCAATAGTACATGTCTTTGGACTGTGGAGGAAACAGGAGCACCCGGAGGAAACAGACACAAACACGGGGGAAAACATGCAAACTCCACACAGAAATGCCAACTGATCCAGCTGTGACTTGAACCAGAAACCTTCTTGCTGTGAGGTGACAATGCTAACCACTGAGCCACCATGTCATCCCCAATAGAATTAAAATATGACCATTTTAAAGCATTTAATACATTTACAAATAAAGCCAGCCATATTGCTGTGTGCAGTTTTAAATTGCTGGTCTAAAAAAATATTGACTCACTAAAGCCCAGATGTTTCAGCCCAAACTAACCAATGGTTTTGTGCCAACAATTGATCATGGCGAACACCAATTGCTTTTCCGAAGCAAAAATTATCTACCTATAGGTCTGATATTTTGTACACATTATACTTAGCTTTTTTTAAAGTATTTAATGATTTTTTTCTATGAAAAACAAAGAATAATCAAAAAGTGATTGAACTCATAGCCTCTATGTAATTTTTAGCCATCGTTATCAGCCTTTTTCATATTTTTGCTGATAGATACAGTATGCCAATAGTTTTTAAATAAATTCACTTCAGCCAAAAAAATATAAGACAGTGGTGTCCAAACACGGTCCTGGAGGGCTGGTGTCCTGCATAGTTTAGCTCCAACTTCCTTTAACAGACCTCCTTGGACGTTTCTAGTGTACTCAGAAAGAGCTTGTTTAGTTTAGTGTCTAATTTGAAACAAAAATATGCAGAACACTGGCCCTCCAGAACTGAGTTTGGACACCCCTGATATAAGCGGTTGACACACCCCTAATTATCAATATTTAACTGGTTCTCTATTGATGACACGGTGGCTCAGTGGTTAGCACTGTCGCCTCACAGCAAGAAGATTGCTGGTTCGAGTCCCGGCTAGGTCAGTTGGCATTTCTGTGTGGAGTTTGCATGTTCTCCTCGTGTTGGTGGGGGTTTCCTCTGGGTGCTCCGGTTTCTCCCATAGTTCAAAGACATGCGGTATAGGTGAAATAAATAAACTAATTTGGCCGTAGGGTATTTGTGTGTCTGAGTGTGTATAGATGATTCCCAGTAATGGGTTGCAGCTGGAAGGGTCTCTACTGTGTAAAACATATGTTGGATAAGTTGGCGGTTCATTCCGCTGTGTCGACCCCTTATGAAAAAAAGCTGAAGGAAAATGAATAAATGATTCTCTATTGTATTTGATTAGCAGCTTAGATGAATGCACATTTAAATAAAAGTAAAAAAAACATACACTGTGTATATATATATATATATATATAAAAAAATATATATATATATATATATATATAAAATATAAATATATATATATTTATTTTCTTTTTTTATTTATTTATTGTAGGCTTGACACCACATTTGGCCACGACTGTATGAATTGCTCTTTCCACCTATTTTGAAAGGAAGACAAAAATAAAAAGCACAATGTCATAGACCCAACAACCATATGTCAAACATGAATTCAAGCCAACAGTTCAGGTTAAAGTGGGGTTATTTGCAAAAGCAATTAGCCATAAAATCGGATCATTGACCAACTGGAATTGAAATCCTTTTCAGGTGCAAGATACTGTTGGTCTGATGGGATCATGCAGCACAGCTTACAGTAGTGCCACGTAGCAGAAGTCATCTTAAAGCAGCTGCTTGCTGATGAAAACCCACACACTGCGGTGCCACTAAAGCAGTGTCTGCTAATTTATTTTACAGTGAAACTATTCTCTCCTGTTATGGCTGGCACAAGCCCCCAAAGACCCTTCGTGTTGAAATACCAATTGGTACTCACAGGCTGGACCGACTAAACTGCCATGACTCACACAAATGTTCTCACACTCACACATAGACAGACAAAACTATTCAAAAACACAGCACTCTGTCAAAACCAATCAATGACTGATGGACGAAATCCTTCGCATCCACACTCAGCTCTTTGAGTCCATTCTTGTGGCTGCCATTTCCACATCTTTAAAATTTAACAGACCAAGAATAGCAGTAAAAGTACCAGAAACAGTCATAGATGGAGGATATCAAAACAGCTAGAGCTAAAAATAATGACTCACTAGCTAATGGCCCTGTTAAATAATACACTAGGCCAGAAAAGTGAAGTTTGAGACTTATATTAGTAAAAGCAGGACATTTTTCTTTTCTAATGTCCTGATTTTTGAAGGATCAGCAGAGAAAAAAAAAACAAGGCTGCTTTTTTATTTATGTGTCTGCCTTGGATGACAGTTCACACACAGCCTATACACTCAACAGCCACTTTATTAGGTACACCTTACACCGTACTGGGTTGGACCCCCTTTTGCCTTCAGAACTGCCTTAATCTTTTGTTCCTCAGAGATTTTGGTTCATATTGACATGATAGCATCATGCAGTTGCTGCAGATTTGTCCATGATGCGAATCTCCCATTCCACCACATCCCAAAGGTGTTCAATTGCATTGAGATTTGGAACCTGAAAGCTATTTGAGTACAGTGAACTCATTGTCATGTTCAAGAAATGATTCACGCTTTATGACATGGCTTGTTATCCTGCCAGACGTAACCATCAGAAGATAAGTACACTGTGGTCACACCACCAACCATGCCACATTTAAAGTCACTTAAATCACCTTTCTTCTCCATTCTGATTTTCGGTGTGAACTGCAGCAGATCGTCTTGACCACAGCTGTTTCTCAACATGTGTTCTTCAGCGGTCTTGCGTCCTCGTGTTCTCATGTATTGTTATCATCAGCCGCCAAAGTTCAGTTCCAATACTCAAGACCGCAAGAACAGAGGACGCGTGAAACTTCCCGGATGTGTTCTTGGTGTCGAGGACGCATTGATGCAGACTTGAGCACCGAACTTGCTCTGGAAGTCCCAGAAGTCATTGCGACTGGAGGTGGGAAGCGCAGCATTTTATTTATATTTATTATTAAGGTTCAGAGATATAAATTATTTACCTCAGGAGTTTCCCTAAATGAAACGGTGAAAGCAAACATTACCATGAACATCTTAATAAAGGAATAAACACATTAAGAGTGTTTGTTTGCTGAAATTTGTATTAAAATCTGTTTTATATTTATTTATTTATATTGTGCAAAGTATATTTATAATGTTTTCATGCAAAGTTTATATATTGTAAAGGGAAAAAACAATAAATCGCTGTATGAATGCTGTATGTTTAAATAATTTACCATTTAAAACGCATGAAGGTCATGTGACCATAAGGAAGAACGCAGCATCTCATTTCTCAGAGGACGCATTCTCTGTCCTCGCGGTCTCCTGAGTTCCGAGGACACCTGGCAAGACCGGTCTCCACAAGAACGCAAGTCCATTCTCTGCATTCTTGCAATTGAGAAACAGCCCACATCTACAAGCCTAAATGCATTGAGTTGCTGCCATGTGATTGGCTGATTGGAAACAGGTGTACCTAATAAAGTGTCAGGAGAATCTATATATACAGTATAAAATGCCAATTTCTCAGTATATATATATATATATATATATATATATATATATATATATATATATATAATTTTATACTGTTTTACTGTATATATACTGTATATACTGTTTAGTAAAAAGTAAAATAAAATGATTTTCATTGACTTTTTTATTAGCTTGAAATTATATACATTTCCAGGGTGTAAAAAGACAGTTGAGCTGAAATTTTGCTTCCATTTAATGTATGTTTTTTTAGTAAAATATTAAAACTGGGAAGTGACAGAGACCTGGGAGAGTGGTAATCTCTAAAGTTTTAATTCAAAGCATCAATCTTCAGTTTTTTTTGTTGTTGTCTATAATTCCGACAATTCCTGTCAGTTTTACTTATTTACATACAATATTTTCCCCACCTAAAATAAGACTGTCAGTCAAGTAAATATTTAATTGTCACTCACACCAAAGCCTTGTCAAGCTGTTTTTACCTGTTTTGATGAACTAATCATTTAAAACTGCTTTGAAGACAAAAGACATTTGTGGTTATTTAGACAGGCTTAAACGATTATGAATAAGAGCTAAATATGCACAACAGGAATAATATAGTGAAGCCTACACATGTGTGATTGGGAAGAGGGGGGTAGCAACATGTTGTCAAAGCTGTCAGTTATGGTTCTTAGCACTGGTCTAATTATAAAAGTACAAAAGACCCAGTAGACAATTTAAATCAGGCCTGACAATAATGTCAACATACTGTCCACGTGTCAACATCACATCACAGCAAGATAAATCAGCTATCCGGGAAAACAGCCAGTCACAGAATCCAAGTGCACTAGCCAGCCAGTCGGGCTTTGGAAGATTTTTAAACATTTTATTTGTAATTATTTTACCTTGACTCAGCATCTTGAAAATGTTCAAAAGATGCAAGACAGGAGCATAATGATCATTTACCTCCATCAAGCTCATGTTTACATAGAAAAACAATGGAAAAGTAGTGCATTAGATTAGAAAAAATGCATTTAGTTTGAACAGCACCTTAGGCAGCTAGAAATGTCTAAAACACATTATTGTGAATTTGTGTGAATGGGGATTGTTTTGACAGCACTGGCGTTTATGCACAAACACTAAATGCCAGAGGAAAATCTTTGTTTTTAGTAAACTGTTATTGTGTTAACTTACTTTATATACTCTAAATGTGTCATTTTTATTCTGAAGAAGACAATCGTGTTTGTAAGTGTGAATAAATGATCACCAAATTTTGTAGATGTATAACAAGTTAGCTTAAAAACCCGTTCCTAGTATTTGAAATGGGCCTACAATTAATAGCCAGGCCATAATGTTTCTGTGATGTGTTTGTACCAAAATAAATGTGTGTGTGAGACTGTTTAACGTACCGTAGAGTTGTGAGTGCTTGTAACAGTTTGTCCATCTTCCCTGTAATGTGTCTCAGTGTAATGGCTGGCAAACAGTCCACTAGAAAAGAAAACACACACACACACACATAAACACACAGAGAAAATCCATTCAGCATTGCATCAGACTCTACTCCTTCAAAAAGTCACTTTTTTCGAAGGAGAATAGTTTGTAGTTTAAGAGACCATAAAATATGTATATAACTCTCTTAAAGTTAGATTTTACCACCGAATGCAAAACAAATTCATCTTGTTTAATGCCCTAAATTTGTAGAGAAGATTATGGAAGTGTGTCAAAACAGTGAACTTGCTTTTTGGAAATGCACATAAACAGGAAAAGTGGGACACTGTGCAGAGAGTGATCAAAAAAATTCAACAGATCAAATCATGACCCACCTAAAGATACTGCACAGCCATTAACACAATAAAATATACAAATCTGACTCCTCAAAGGAAATGCATTTTCCTAAATGTCAGTCTTCTGTTTGCAATCACAAAAAAAGTTACAATGTATTTTAGGTAATTAAGGAAATCAGACATTCAATTCGATATTGCTAAATATTTCTACAGTTGTTAATTTTTTAGTTTGAACCATCATTTTGAACAACAAATGAAAAAATAAAGTGGAAAGTATGTCTTGGTTGAATGTATGTGCATGAGTGAACAATCAGAAATGCTGGGGAAAAGTAAGAGTTGTATTTATGTATGTGTTTGTGTGAGTGTGTGAGTGTGTGTGTGTGTGTGTGTGTGTGTGTGTGTGTGTGTGTGTGTGTGTGTGTGTGTGTGTGTGTGTGGTGTGTGTGTGTGTGTGTGTGTGTGTGTGTGTGTGTGTGTGTGTGTGTGTGTGTGTGTGTGTGTGTGTGTGTGTGTGTGTGTTGATATGTTGCAATGCCAAACTCTGGCCAGACATCCCTGAAAGAGACGAGAGAGTGATATGTGACATGATGCTGACATGATGAAATCCAAATGTAATCACCTCAACAACATAAGTTGAAGTTTGTGTGAGTATGTGTGTGTGTAATGACATTTGTAGGACGTAGGTATTACAAGAAGGTGAAGTATAAAGACATAACCCAAGTACCCATTTTTCAAAGGCTTATAAATCCAACAGAATTATTATTATTATTATTATTATTATTATTATTATTATTATTATTATTTTGAAAAATTGGATGTGAAACTCACTAAATGTTTTCTCTTTTTCGGACCATTCTCTGTAAACTATAGAGATGGTTGTGTGTGAAAGACCCAGTAGATCAGCAGTTTCTGAAATACTTAGACCAGCCAACCATGCCAGGTTCTTCTCCATTCTGACACTCGGTTTGAACTGCAGCACATCATCTTGTAGGGTTAGGTTTATGGGAAATACAGTTTGTGAAGTATTAATTTCATGTGAACACACAGTTAATGGGTTCTCCCATTGCCTGCAAGTTTTAGCTGTTATGCGAGCACATGGCTTGTGTTGTTTCTTTGTGTCATGTGCAGAGTTGGGTGTAACGTGTTCCACAGTAACACATTACTGTTTTCTAACTACATTTTTAAGGAACGCAGTATATTAACGAATTACATTTTAAATTTGTGTAAATTGATTACAGTTATTAAAGTCAATGTAATTGCACTACTTTCGTTACAAATATAGTTTTTAGAAAAAAAAAGCTTTTTTAAATAATGTTTTTCACTTCAGTGTCAGTTAATAAGCATGAGCTTTTAAATTGCTGGATACGAACTGAAAAAGTTGCTGTCGAGAGCGGTTGCTTCTTCAAGTGGAAATACAGACATTACTTTGATTTCACTGAACGTAAAAACAAAAATATTGCTGTGAAATGCAGACTATATCCAGTCTTTAAGGAACTTTTGACTGCTTTTAACTCGACCCACAACTTGTTTAAGCACTAGAACAGAAAGCATTCTATGACAATACTCAACACCAACACGTCGGCCCAACTCAGCCTAAATTTAAAAAAAAGTGCAGGATTGGGAGTGAAGGTTTCTTCTGAATGTGAAGAGAACTCCTTATGGGGCCGTTCAATATTGCATCTTTTGCATGCGCGCATATATTGGGAGCGCATATTGCGCTCGCATTTCCCAGGCGCACTTGTTGAAAACCACAAGTCAGGTGACAAGAACTGTCTAATCAGCTTCATATCTTGAAATATGTACATTTAGGTATAATTACCTCAGACACAGAACACCCAAACACTGCAGTGCTTTTTCATACTATGGATTTCAATGGTTACAGGCATCCAGTTTTTTATTTTCTATTGAAAAAAAAAGACAAGAAGGTTTGGAACAAGTAAATGATGACAGTATTCAACTGTTTAAGTCCTTAAACTTTTGTAGTTTATTTAGTATTTTTATAAGTATATTTTATATGGTTTAAAAGTAAATTCAAAGTAAAATAATTAGTAATCTGATTACTTTTGACATTTCATATTAATAAACCTGTTTGAGTTCCTGCCCTTGAGTCCTCGTCCTTACCTTTCAAAAACAAGACACCAAATTCTTTTTAGCTTCCTTTTAGATCCAGTTACTATGACCATTTATATGAAGCTGCTTTGACACAATCTACAGTGTAAAAGCGCTATTCAAATAAAGCTAAATTGAATTGAATGATAACATGTTAATTTACATAATTAGATAGTAGCCCATTTTAAGCATTTATCATTATTCATTTATTTATTAATAAATCAAACTAAACTAAACTGACTAAAAGATAAAATAATAACAACAACAACAACAACAACAACAATAATAATAATAATAATAATAATAATATTTTTAAAACTGTTTTTAAATAACTTTTAACTTTGAACTCACTTTTCATATAAGTCCTTATGTACTGTAGCTTATGAACAGCTTGCCATAATATTGTTTTTTTAATTAAAAAGATGTTTATTTGCTGTAGCCCATTTTACAGTTTCTATCTGTGAAGAAATACTCTGTAACAGAAGTATATGCTGTAATTAACCACACACACTTGTACCTTGACAGACCTCAAACTCCTCACATTTCTCCTTTGGGCTTGTGTATACCATAATTGCTCTTATATACACACACATTCATCAAATGAACATCAGGACACGAAAACGGATCCAGTGTTGGTATTCTGGGGCAAAACTTAATTTCAAATTCGTCTCATGAATCTGACTGGTTTAGACCTTGGGCTTACATATTAGTAAAACAAACCAGCTCATCTTCCTGAAATAACAAGGCTGCTGCCTCTCTACAGTTGCTCTAAAAACGGCCATTTTTAGTTTAATGTCATTAGGCCATCCTTCGGTAATGACAGCACACCAGTCCATCATTTCTCATTCTCCTCCATTGGATCCACATACGCCGGCAGAGGAGCGGCTTGTTGTTTTTGGAAGGAACTTCAAAGCATCTGGTTGAAAGGCTTTGATGTTCTCAAGGATGAACTGGTGTGACAGCCATCCGAATCCCAATCCCAAATGTGCCGTGTCTCCCCTCGGTGCCACAAAGCAATGAGCGAGGGAATGTGGGAGTTTGTCCACAGGGAAGTGTGAATCATAAAAGGAGGGATGAACGTGCTGTAATATGCCAATTAGGGTGGGCACACACAAAAAAAGTCCACTAGGAAACAGGCCTTGAGCGTTTAACACCACATTCAGACGTTTATGATGTTATAAACTGCCATTGAAGCCCAAAACTATGCATGTAAAGAGATGTACACACAAATATAGAAATTAGAAATTAGAAAAAACATAGAAATTTACTACTGCTAATAGGTGAGTTTAAGTTTAAAGGTGACAAGTTTTTGACTTTTTTAAAGCATATTAATATGTTTGCAGATATTTAAGAACATACTTGTTTACCTGAAAAAGAATGCTGAGGCTGTTTATTTTGCTTTGTATATGTGCATTTCATATCGGAATGTCTGTCTTTGTATTGGTCTGTGTAACTACGCCCACTGCCAGATTACCTAATTATATTTCGCCACCCTGGGTTGCTTTGGCAGAAAACACAGTGTATTTAATTTCAGTCAAGAAGACTGCATCAATATCCAGTATATAAGAGCTACCAAAGAGTCCAGAGGACAGTAGCCTATAAAATGAGATGCAGAGTTATAAAAATCCATATGCTGCACAATTTGGGAGACAGATACCCTCTGTCAGTTTAAATATAGACTAAAGACGTGTCTCTTTGCACAAGCATACACAAACAAACTGCTTTATGAACCCAAAATCTTTTTTTATTTGAATTTGATTGTTGGTCTGCATTAATCAGGGGAACTGGGAACACGCAATAAGACACTGTAATATGAATAGCATCTACTCTTATGTTAGTCAATCTGTTTCTTCTAATCCCAAGGTTCACATAATCATTGATCCAGCCTCTATCCAGAGCACGAGGTTATGTTGAACATCGATGTCAAAGAATATAGACCAGGGGTGCCCAAACTTTTTTATATAAAGGACTAAAAACCAAATATCATTATGAGCCATAGGCCGAAGGTAAATTCATTCATTTTCTCTTTGGCTTAGTCCCTTTATTAATCTGGTGTCACCACAGTGGAATGAACCGCTAACTTATCCACCATATGTTTTACGCTGCCGATGCCCTTCCAGCCGCAACACAACACCCATACACTCTTGCATTCATACAATACAGCAAATTCAGCTAATTTAATTCACCTGTACCGCATGCCTTTAGACTGCAGGGAAATCAGAACACCCAGAGGAATCCCATGCGAACACAGGGAAAACATGCAAACTCCACACAGAAATGCCAACTGACCCAGTCGGGGCTCGAACCAGCAACCTTCTTGCTAAGAGGTGATCCCACTGCGCCACCATAGTGCCCCCGAAAGTAAATATACCAAACTAAATTTGCCATGGATAATTTCCTAATTTATTTAATAATATTAAAAAATAAAAAAATAATAATACTTATTGCATTAACTAATACTGTATAACTTTTAAAACGATAACTTAATACAATAAATACATAACAGTGGAGTTCCATGCTGAATATACTAGTCAAGCAGAATCTGCCTTTGCCTTGATTCGTTCACTAAAGTCTCTGCATTTTCCTCTATCCAAC